TAATGTTAATGCTTGTAATTTTTCAGCTCCAGACAAGAACCCACAAAACATAAGAGTTCAAGCCTCTCAACCCAAGGAAATGATTATTAAATGGGAGGTACGTATTCCTTAATGTTTTATGTATTTCTTTGTGCTCTTTTTTCTTTCTCTTAGGTCTGCACGCTAAGTACAGTGAAAGAACAATCTTTTTTAAGAACAAAGTGATAAAATTTGTGTATGAAATGAATTTGTGAGTTGTCATCACTGCATATTTTAAAGATCATTGTGATTAGAATGATAAATTGTGAAATAGTAAAACACTAGTAAACAATTTAAGGAATACTGGTGATTTAGTTGTAATACTTTTCCCAAAGTTTCAGATTCCTAATGGTTTTCCCATTCAAAGTATACTGACAATTTCAAACTAAATTTAGTATATGGTCTACTATTGCAGTTCCCAACCCCCTGGGCCACAGCCTGGTAGCCTGTTAAGCCTGTTAGGAATCAGGTTGCACACTGCCTGAGCTCTGCCCACCACCACCCTGTGTCTGTCCGTGGAAAAATTGTCTTCCATGAAACTTAGGAACCGGGCTGCACAGCAGGAGGTGAGCTGCAGGTGAGCAAAGTTTCATCTATATTTGCAGCTGCTCCCCATGGCTCACATCACTGCCCAAGCTCCTCCTCCCCCCCCCCACCCCTCCGCTACCTCCCATCATCCGTCCCTGGAAAAATTGCCCCCCCCCCCCCCACCCCTCCGCTACCTCCCATCATCCGTCCCTGGAAAAATTGCCTTCCATGAAACTGGTCCTTGTTGCCAAAAAGGTTGGGGTCCACTGACAGATATTATGCATATCAAAAGGATTACCCCAAAAGGATAGTCACCACTTACTAAGCACTATTAGGCATTTCATATACTCCTTTCTGATTTTGAGAACAGCCTTGTCAAGAAAATATCATTAACACCTTGTACTAGATATAGATATAGATACGACATATAGGCTGAGTGTTTTGCCCATCACTACACAACTGGCAATTAACACAGCTAGGATTAAACATGGGTATCTTTGGTCTTCAAATCTCACTTTTTCCACCTTCATATATCTCTGTGAAATGTTGCTAAATAGACTTCTCTTTGAATTCAGCATAAAAGTTTGTATCTGCTCAGGGAACTTTAATTAGTCTAGTGTCATTTCCAAATTTCTTCTGTAAGAGTGAAGAACTTTATTTTTCTCTCCTACTTGGACATGTTTCATAAACAAGTATATTGACCTACATGAAAATAAATTACCATTCAACCATTCTGATTCATAATATGCCTTCAACATTAGATTCATTGAATTTTGTGTAAACATAGAATATTTTTTAACATATGCTGGAATACACTAATTTATTTCCACACTTCATTTCAGGTATGATTCTTGGAAGAATTTTTAAATGATAAAGTTTGGTTTGCTTTTTCCTCAAATATTGATCTTTTTGTACTCATTATAAAATCACATGGCCCATCCCTGCAAAATATTTAGTCAATATTTTTATATCAACATTAACTCTTTATTTCTATTTCAATAAAATTGTTTTGCAAGTTTAAGATGTAGAAAATTTGAAAAAAAATTAGTCACACACAGATACTAAATATATCCAAGAATATTATTCCTCTCCTTGAATTTGTGGCCATATATACCTACTACCACATTGTCTTGATAATTTCTGAATTTATAGTCTGAAATTATGTTAGTTTTTTATTCTTTTAGAGTGTTTTTGTCTTACCCTCCTTTGAGTTCCATAGACATTTCCATAAGGGAGAAGATGTAACTGATTAGATACCAATAATATTATGTAATTTGCAGATCAGTTCTTCAGAGAAGCACACTATATTCCAATAATGTTAGCTCATTAACCCTCACCACTCCTTTTGGGGTGGTGATGGTCATTCGGTGGTGTCAGCCTTATTATTTCATACAGAGAAGCTGAGACTCCCAGAGTTTAATGACCTCACCCAGATGCCATGTGCCAAGTCATACTGAAAAAATGATAGAAATCTCTAGTCTTCCTCTCTGCTCCTCTCACTCATAAGTCACTCTTTTTTCCCCAAAAGATACGCAAGACTGATTACTTATGCCCTCTTTTGTACAAATGAAGCTACACCAAGAAAATGTTTATAATTTTTCTTTGAAGAGCAAATGACATGCAATTTAGTAATTAATTGACTAGAGAAAGGAAGTAGTCACAGGGATTTGGATCTAGATTGACAGTTACATTCATAATATGTCCCGTTGTGTTTCATATTACCTTGAAGTGTCAGTGATCTAATAATTACTAGCACAGCCAATGATGTTTAAGAACATTCATTCTTTGAATATTTTTTTGTATGAATTATCCTGCAGAAAGGATTTATGTGCTAGATATTTCCTAAGTGGACAAACAAATAGAACTATTCTATTCACAAAATAGAACTGTGAATGAATTACCAGGATCCCTCCAGAGACTGACTCACAGAATAATTTCTGTGTGCAAGATAGCGATCAGAGAGACATAACTTGTTAAAAAAAAGTTGGTCTTTCAAAAAAAGATTAAAAATGCAGATGAACACTAAGAACAGAGTAGATACCCTTATTTTTTGTTTGTTTGTGTAAGCTTTGT